TTAGTACGTTCTTGAAAATTGTGCAGTTAGATGTCATTTGAACGTACCTAATATATCTCATATATTTTTTAATTATTCGGTGAGTATTTCTCGAGATAGCAACATAATTACGACAAATTAAAAAAACCTAGTTTACGAAAGCTAAGTAATGGCAACCGAAATATACTGGCAACAATACGCATACGACATCCTTTTCGTAACAAGGTTCATTTTTTCTAAATCATGCTGTGTGATATTTAGGACACCCTGTATCATGTAGCAGCAGACGCATAAGCACAAAAATGTTTACTTCAAGCTTTAACACCGACAAACTTTCTTTCGTTTGAATGAAATGTCTGTTATTATCTGTCCAGTTTTGTCTTTTTAGCCCAATATTTATTGCTTTCATTCCGGAACAGTGATTGGGGTTGCTTGACTCGACTTCTCTGCATACACAGCACTGTCCGCGCTTTTGTTAATCGCTCTTTTAAATGATGTGAGTCACTGCTATGCTTGCCTACCATCTCTCTGGTTGCCATGTATTTGCAAAAACGTCAGTTGAAGCCTCCACATGATGGCGCAACAACCAGCGAACAACCTGCTCGTAAACGCATCACATTTACAAAATTCTGGATCACGTCGACAGATGTTTAACAGCAACGACGCTTGTAGCGATATTTTTTGTGGCGCTTATTGTATACGTAGAGGATGCACAACTGGAAAGAGTCATTTGCGGTCGTCAAGCATTTGTTTGCGACAAATACCATCTTTGGCTCTTTTTTTTTCTTTTACGAAAGAACATGTGCAGCCCAGAAAACACTCATATATAGTTGCACAAAGCGTAGACGGACATCGTTGCTATTCACACTTTTGGCACTTATTGCTGTGATTACTAATCACCCAGTGATTATTAAAAGTGCAAAAACACATTAGAAGATCGTGAGTCATAGATAAAAAATTATCATTATCATAAACCAGCACACGCTCAATCACCGCCCAAGCATTCTGTACACGTGGTTAACAAGAGAAGCTGAAACGTGCCCCCCAGCTCGGCTATGATCCAGCCTTGCACGCCTTAGCGACAGCTGCGCTACTTATATTGTCCTCAGAATCACGTTGACGTAACAGTTAACAAAGTCGATTGTAAGCAGTAGTGGGTGGCCCACGGAGCCTGTGAAGCGAGCCTGTAAAACGACGTGGTCGGGAACCAAATCTTCCCGACAGCGTCGTTGGCGATGCCCTCGGGGGTCCTTAGGAACGCTCTTCCGAGGACGCAAATAAAGTTCTGTCTGTCTGTCCATTAGTGTACTAGACTTGCAGTACGCAAATATGACTATGTTCCTGTGGTTCCAAAGTTACAAAAAAATATGGAACGTCTCGAATGTCTTATTTCGGCCCTGCCCGTGGGGCAAAAAGCCGTGCATTTGAAGCCCTCCGTGAGTGCCTGCGCAGTCTTTGTGAACCCACTCTTCACACTCCACGCGCTGAATACAGATCCTAGCGCTGTGGTACTTCGCAACAGCAGAAATCTGAAGCTCTGCCAGACTTTATTTGAACTCAATAAGCTGCTTTTCATGTTAGACAAATAAAACTGGTCGTTTCGATTCGAAGAAACATTTGTGAAGTGCTATGTTATGAAATTCTTTCCGTTCCCTGACGCGCCCCTAGAGAGAGATCCTTTGGGACACCGAACGACGTCGCAGCAGCGCTAATTGATTAATGAATATGACTATAATGATGGTGGCTGAAACAACTTTTTTTTCAAAGATTGTTTTATTGTTTTCCGGTCAAAGAAACAAAAGAAGGTTGGACCCGTAACGGTATTGTCGCAGAATCGCGTGGTTATGATTGATATTAAAAATCTCAGTTCGCGTTGGAACTGATAACAGATTGGAATGAATAAAGAAGAAATAAATGAATAAGGAATGAACATAGATTTTAGAATCTTGGCCTGAATGGCTTCTGGTGCATCTTTCACGTCGCTTTTCTCCTTTCCTCCAAGAATTTTTACATAATTTTTTCTTGTACGTCTGTGCCATCTCAAACAACATATATTTCGAATGAATCAATTATTCGCTCAGTAAGAAACTTGTTATACCATTTGAACTCCTTTCTGCGTCTGTACGTATGTATGTATGTATGTATGTATGTATGTATGTATGTATGTATGTATGTATGTATGTATGTATGTATGTATGTATGTATGTATGTATGTATGTATGTATGTATGTATGTATGTATGTATGTATGTATGTACGTTTGATAGGCATAGCCACTTTTAATGTAATTGTTGGCTTGTAATAAACAATAAGTAAAATAATCACACAAAAGTTTGATGCTAATATTTACAAAAATTTGTGCTGTCAGGAGTCTTTTTCGCGCTATCGCTGTTTTCCCGGGCCCTAAAGAAGATAGTGATCGCACAGGCGTCACATCGCTATCTGAAAACATCAAGTGCGTCAAGTTACATTGTATGTGTCTTGGATGTTTCAGCAATGAAGGATGAGAATTGAATCGGACACCAGAAAATTACATCGAGAAGGAGGAGGGGCTGGAGCGAGGCTTTTTGCGCAACCTCAGAAAACAAACGTACTGCTGATGCTGACTCGATCCCTCAAACAAGGGCAAGCGAATAGGCGAGATGTGAGATGGCGTGAGGTCTATTGTGAGGTATGAAATAAGCAAGTACGCACTTCCTTTCATCCCCCCCCCCCCACTTTCACTACCCACGCACACAACTGCGTTTTCGTGGTCCTTTGTCATAACAGTCAAGTCCAGGGATCTCTGAACCGGATTCCGAAAGCGGCAGGGGTCATTCAAGCTGCTCGAAGCACGTCGACGCCACGACGTAGCTAAATAAAGGTTTAGTGTTGGAACAACAACACGGCACAGCTTCTTCTGAGCTCAAAAAGCACTCTGCAGAAGGAGGTACAAAACGCAGTGTTCGTTTATTTATCTAAATGTATAGAGATAAACGAAGCGAGAGTTGAAGCAAAGGCAGTCGAAAAAAAAAAGCACAGAAAAAGTAAAACTGTGGTGAGGCAGCCTGCAGCCTGCATCAAGAACATCGATTTGTTTTCATGTCAACTATAGTGAGTGTTTCACTTTATCCTGCTGAAAGTAATCTCGGCTCTTTTTCTCTGTTTCTATTTCCTGAGCTACGTGGTGCCTCTTGGATTTCACCTCGAAATATTAGTCGGAACGAAGAATTAAGAAAGATTGCTCGCTCAGGCAGCGGTATATTATTTCCTCTCTTTTGGCTTCAGCAAACGTCGGGACACGGGCACAGCGCGACTTCCACGCATGAAGAGCTAGGCGGGAATGCGTATTAGAAACGCCGATGTCAAAGGCCATCGACCATCGTATGCTTCTCGTATTTGAGGATTGCCCAATAAAGACTGCGTGCATTTGATACTGCCGCAGGGCCGCAGCAGAGTTATACCACGTGACACATTAGTTATTTCCGACTGTGTTCCATGTATTCAATGAAATTCTACATCCATCATAAGGCACAAAAGTGCTAAAAAATGACATTTGTGTTAAGTAAAAGTATTCTCTGCTATATCTTGCAGTAGCTAGCCGTACCTTACACAGACTCATATATATATATATATATATATATATATATATATATATATATATATATATATATATATATATATATATATATATGTATATATATATATATATATATATATATATATATATATATATATATGTGTATATATATATATATATATATATATATATATATATATATATATATACCTTTCTACTACAGAAGATACTTAGATGATATTTTCATGATATAGAACAGCGATGAGGGAAGTCTTTTCGTCTTTTCCGCTTCATAGAGGATTTTAAAAAGTTCCACCCGTCAATTCAATTCACGCACAAAATTTCCAAAACTAGCATTAACTTCTTGGACGTCACTGTCACGGTCAAAAATAACCGCTAGTCAACAAACCTTTACAAAAAGCCTACAGACCGCCAAATGTACCTACATTTCAACAGCAGCCATCCAAAGCATTGCAAAAGGGGTATTCCATATTATCAAGCCTACCGGTATCAAAGAATATGCACCCATATGCAGGAATTTGACAGACACGCAGAACACCTAAAGCATTCCTTATCGAAGCAAAGTTACCCCGAAGACATTATTGACGATGCCATACTACGTGCTCGCAACGTGAACACACTCGAAGCGACTTCACTGACTCTTACTACACTGCATAAGTTTTAGCCGACCTAGAGTCTGACAACCATAAAGCCAGTTAGGATTATTAGGTAGCCTACATGGATTTTGCCTAGCTAACAAGGCGTAGCGTAATGTACCACTGGGTCGGTTCAACAATATTCACATTTCAAGGCGAGTGGCCAAATGTAAACCACCACTGAAGCGAAGCTGTTTTAGTGACTTCGCCCGTGTTTGCACACTTCATCTTTGTTCACGGATAGCATTGAATGTTGATAGATAACATGCCACAACCTGGTAGTAAGCGCAAACAAAGCTCGACTCGATTGAGCAAAAAAAATCATCATTCAAGATTGTCATTATTCTCCGATATCAGCGCGTGATCACGTTTATCCTGCTGAAATGGGTACTTCTCAATTATCTCCTTTTGTTCTCTTTCTATAAATCGAGATGAATCGAGGATTGGCAAAGGTATATGAAGCCATGTGATAGCCTTTCATTGTGCGCAGCAAATCTCGGCACCCGCTGTCGATAAATAAGGACCTGAAGCGGTGACGCCATACACTATCATTACTTGCACTGCCATCAATTGTTTGGAAAAGGGGCAAAATATATTCCTCATATTCTTGAGAAGTGATACAACGCTAATGATATACAAAGATATTCCAAAGTTTCAGCAATAAACTTCGTTATATAAAAGAAATTTTACAATTTCTTTAGTATTTTAATGGTTGCTGATGTAATGTCAACTCCGAAAACACCCCAAATTATTTCATGTAAAAATGCACGTCCACATTAACACATGCGTATGCAAGCGACGGCCCACCTGTCGATGCTCATGGCGGTTATGGTGAAGGCCGATGAAGCGAGTGTCAGGTTGGCCAGGAAGTTGCTAAAGACGCAATAGGGCAGTCCAAAGGCCCAGTGGCTCTCCAGCATGTACACCAAGTTGAATACGGCGTTGAAAGTGGCTGTCAGAGCATCTGCCAGCGACAGGTTCACCAGGAAGCAGTTGGTCGTGGTACGCATGCTGCGGTGCGCCAGCACGACCCACACGACCAGCGCGTTTCCAAGCAGCGCTACGGCTACCACGGAGCCGAAGAGGAGCGCGTACAGCAGCTGTGTCCACCACGCCAGCACCCACTGGCGCTGGCCGCCAACCTCGACCACGGGTGCGTCGGTCAGCCATTGAGACTCGTTGGCCATGCCTCCAGCTCGGCCTTCGTGGACGCTGCGATTAACGAACAGTTGGCCTATCTCACTGCATAAGCACCACCGACAATAACTTGCCGTTTCAAGAACTGATGAAACTTCCTGCGTATATGTGGGATGGAGGAGGGAACTTGTTACGTGATTTCAAGCAGATAAAGTAGGACTAGGCTCCTATAACTTCCGGTAAAAAGTCGGCAGCAACACAACAGAGCCAAGCTCTGCTGCCCTAGTAAATTACACATCCCCAATAATCACCGTGACTATTGTAGCCAGAGAGGCGGGTTCTAACACTGTCTAAATGCTCAAGCATCATCTTTCAGTGGGCACATAAACTTTGGCAGCGTTTTCTCAGGCGTAGTTATCACCTGTGAATATAAAAAAATTATGCGTTTAGACAAAGAAGCGAAATGCTGAACTTCAGAACTTTCAATAACTGCTGACCCATAGCCGCCTATGTACGAGGAGACACTTGGCAAAACTTGTTGGCACAGTTACGTACGGGAGCTGAAGTTTCCACATGAAAAAGAAAAAAGAAATGAACTTTCAGTTATCAATTTCTTGCCTAATAATCAGCGTAGTAACGCGATATCAGTAAAAAGATATTTTCGCAATGCCTGGTAACTTTAAGCCAATAGTGTGCTTCTCTTTATTGTCTATTTAAGCATGAAGTGTTTTTACCGCTTCACTAGAACATTCAAGGATCAATTAGTAAATGTCGAATGCTGAATCAATTGATATCCCTTACAGAATGTACAACTAAAGTAGCGGCGCAACACTGTGCCGTCGTCACATACCAATTCCTATAAGTAAACGAAAGAATGGTTATTAAAGGACTCGTTTTTATTTGCTATACACCACATTACTTAAAACTAACAGACTAGAAAGTCAAAGAAAGTATATAAGATGTTATTTGTAGTAATTACAAAAACACCAGGCCTCCGCAGGACAGTCGCAGTGAAAGCTGGAAGAGCGGCCTTTCAGAGCCTTTGTTAAACACCCTTTGGGTGATTGCTACAAGCACAGCTACATAGTACCCGCTACGCCATAAATCATGCTAATTTTTCTGTGTGTGTGTGTGTGTGTGTGTTAGGGAGGCATTCACAATTCCATCCTTCATCATTCTTCGGAGAAGCATAGTACCCGGTGCACCCTTGCAAGGAATTTTGTGCAATTTTATTAAGCTATGACTGACGAAGATGAAGAATTATGACTCATGCTTTAGTAACAGGTCTCTCGTACCGCATAGCCTATCAAAATTTCGGTTTATTTGAGTCCCCGGGCATGCTGGAATTGAACTAAATGAAATTGCTGATTCGCTCGTTTCGGCATCTTTAAATTTCGCGGTGGTGCTAGTAGCTCCACAGTTTCCTTTTATTACTGCCGAACGATTCAAACGCCTGTTAATCTTAATAATCAACGAAACGTCGCTTCTACAATCTGAAGAATTTCGGCACTTGCAATTCACATGGAACACCGCAAAATGCCTTTCCCGTCAATGTGAGGTGACCCTCACAAGCTTTCGCTGTAGAGTTCCTCTGTTAAATTTTTATCTCAACAAATCAGGATTTTCATTAACTAACCTATGTGTAGTTTGCAATGAACCGGGAACAATACATCACTTTCTTCTCACATGCCGCCGCTTCGCCTCAGTGCGCCGAATAATTCTTGAAAGACCGATTGGTATGCTCGGATTGCAAGTCAATACATCCACCCTATTATCGTTTGGAGCCAGTCAGTTGGGTGTGGGCCACAGTGCTATTCTGTCAGCGCTACATAAATTCATCCAGGCAACCGGAAGGATACGCTGCTAGTGCACGGTACTGCCAGATATATCCAACTCTTTCTCTCCCCCTTCCTCATTCTTGTTAATTTGTTTATATATTCTGGTTTATCGCATTCTTCTGCAATTTTTCACGTTTTTTCAAAGGAACATTATTATTGTTCCTATGTAATTTCTCTTTATTTTTTTAGCAAGCGTTGTAAAAAATGATCTATTATGAGGTACAGTGTGGCCAATCCCCCATGTGGGTATGAGCCAAGATCTCCTAGGAGACAAGACAAGACAAGACAAGGTTGAAGCATTCGATGGCCCGCTTGTTACGCAATTCGCATTGTGAGAAGCCTGGTTGTTGATTCATAGCCCTGGTTGGGCTATGAATCGTTCGTTTCTTCAACGTGCATTGAGTGAAGTCAAGTTGCTGTGTACATCCGTAAAGAACGCACTTACGTTCTCCAAAGAGTAGAGTCTCACAATGGAAATCACTACGTGTGTCTATATGTTAAAAAGAAGTTGTCGTTTACGCTGATAGGCGCATATATAGCGCCGTCAGGTCGACTAGATCAACAGACATTGAATGGTATATTTGCAACGACTCCAGCACCTTGGATATTGATGGGTGACTTCAACGCCCATCATCTATTGTGGGGAAGCATCAGGACAAATCGAAAAGGCAAAGACCTAGTTGATCTCGCATCAGAGCACGGGCTTCAGGTGCTGAACGACGGCAGCCTTACTTATCTCCGAGGAGTAACTTACAGCAGTTGCCTGGACTTGACATTAGTGTCGCATAGCATTGTCACGAAAGTCCAATGGTTCACAGATATTGAAACACATGGCAGTGACCATATCCCCACGTACGTGACAGCCAGAGGTTTGGACGATTCTCCTTCACCTGGACATTCAAGACTTATTGACTGGGAAGAGTTTCAGATATCAGTGGAGAGCAAGTGCATACACGAACCACCGGAATCCATTGAAGAAGTGATTAGTTGTGCAATGGAGACTTCCACGAAGATATGTTCGAAAGAATCGAGACGCACGGCACTCGACCAAGAGTTGGAACAACTTCGAGCGGTCCGCCGACGTGCCGAAAGACGATACAGACGCACGAAATCTATCTCTGACCTCAGAGAATCCAGACGCATTCAGAAAAAAATCCAGCGTCGAATGCACAAACTTCATGAACAACGGTGGAAGAATTTTTGTGACTCGCTAGACTCTCGAAAACCCTTGTCTCCCGTATGGAGGACTCTTCGAGGTATTCACTCGCATCCACAACAGCGTCACCCCTTCGCCGCTCTGGCGCTACATCAACGTCGCTCACAGCTTGATGTTTCTGGGGAATTTTGTGCAAAGATCGCCGGCGACATCTCTATACCGATCGATCTAATGCCACAGGATGTTCCAGTCGCACGAGATCTGCAAATGGAGGTTGCATTCACCATGGAAGAACTTCATGCGGCATTGAACACATGCAGACGCTCATCGTCCCCAGGTCCGGATGGAGTGACCTATACTGCCCTACGTCACCTAGGCCCGAAGGCACAGAGCTGTCTCCTGGACATTTTCAATAAGTCTTAGCATGATGGAATGGTGCCTGATGAGTGGAAGTGTAGTCGCCTGGTGGCTTTGCTGAAGCCCGAAAAGTCTCCATTCGACTTGGCATCATACCGGCCTATAGCACTAGCAAGCTGCGTTGGTAAGGTCATGGAGAGGATGCTGCTCACACGCATGGAATGGTACCTGGAACATTATAACATCTATCCTGATGCTATGGCTGGTTTTCGACGAGGTCGGTCCTCAGTTGATGGCGTTATTGAATTAGTGACCTCTGTTCAGCATCAGAAAGCTCAGAAGTGGCTGTCGGTAGCTCTGTTCTTAGACGTGAAGGGTGCCTATGACAATGTGACCCACGAGGCTGTTCTCAATGCTCTTAAAGCAGCTGAACTTGGAGGTCGTGTCTTTCTATGGGTAAGAAGCTACCTCACAAAGAGATCCATGTTTGTTTTAACTGAAGATGGGTCTACGAATAAGTATTTCACAAGTCGTGGGGTGCCACAAGGCGGTGTTTTGAGTCCAACACTTTTCAACCTGGTTCTCGTGGGGCTCACTGAAATGCTGCCACAGACGGCTTAGATATCTCTCTACGCTGACGATATCTGCATTTGGGCGTCCGGCATGACACGGCCTCAAGTACTCGCAAGAATACAGAAAGCGGCAACAATGACATCGACATACCTTCGCCAGCAAGGTTTGACTATCGCCACAGAAAAATGCGCAGCGGTGGCGTTTACACGCAAACCGATGTCTTTCTACTCATTGTGCATCGATGGCAGATCAATCCCATATAAGAGCACTCATAGATTCTTAGGCGTCATCGTAGATCGTGACCTAACCTGGAGCCCGCATGTCACATACCTAAAGAAAAAGCTCATTGGCATTGAGAATGTATTCAAGTTCGTCGCCGGAAAATCATGGGGCCCATCCGTGCACTCCATGTTGCAGCTTTATACAGCCCTCTTTCTCGGAACTCTCCGGTACAGCCTTCCTGTCCTGTCCAACACGTGCAAGACTAACATCCGTGCACTGCAAAGCGTACAAGCCCAAGCACTTCGGACATGCCTTGGCCTTCCAAGATGCTCATCGACAGTGTCAACTATTGTTATTGCACAAGAACAACCGGTCACAACGCACATCATTGTCGAGACGCTGAGAGCGCACATTCGGCATTTATCACGGCTACCGTCACATCATTTAGCGTGTTTGACAGCTCGGAGGCCCCATTCTTCGTACTGCGGTATCGTGACAAAACATCAGGACATACTACCGCCTGGCTTCAAACTTGCGATGCATGCAGCAACTGCGCCATGGAGTCTTCGTCAACCTGACGTGCACTTATCAGTTCCTGGAATCTTTAAGAAGACACGCATGTCAACGCTAGCCCTGAAGCAATTGACTTTGCGTCTGTTGGACGAAAGATACTTCGACCGCATACATGTTTACACCGATGGCTCCACTAATTCCAACAGCTCCACAGGAGCAGTGGTTGTTCCATCTGAAAATGTGTTGCTTCAGTACAAGTTTTCTCACACCACGACGTCGACAGCAGTAGAGCTCGCAGCACTTCAAGGTGCAGTAAAGTACATTCTTCGCCAGCAACCTAACCAATGGGCCATCTTTTGCGACTCCGGTCAGCCTTACAGTCACTACGGTT